CAGCCGCCAAGACCCCTTGTGCCCGGGGGCATCCCTTAAGAGCTTTGAGGGGGGGCAGAACCAGGCGATGAAAAAACCACAGCCCCAAGCCGTGAACCCGCAGGCGCATATGCTTCCCAGCCAACCCCTAGCAAGGCCGGATAGCCGCACCGCGTGTGCGTTTCAAGAGCCAGTGAAACCCACCGGCGGACAAGGCCCTTCATGCAAGCCGCGTGCTTCGCGTCCGCTGAGCCAGAGCCAGCCGCAGGTACCTACCTACACGCTGGTGGAGCAGGCTTGGAGCGCCTCCTTGCCAATTATGTATGGCATGCGTGCTGCGCACAGGTAGCATCGTCTCATCACCCGCAGGTGACTGGGCAGCATCGCTCCACCCGCAGGTGCTCTTTTACACTTGCACGTGAAGAACGAGGCCGTGCATGCACGTGCGAGCAACCCAGCCTCGCATCACCAGGCTGTCGCATACTTCCATCTGCACGCGGCGCGAAGCTACATAGACCTGGAGGTGGTACTCGACGACCTGCGTTTGGTGATGCTTAGCATACGTTTCTGGTGCAGGACATGATCGCACTGATTAGAATATACTTGCTTCGCACAATTTCACCGCCATCCGATTGGCTTAGTTTGGCAGCCATCTCCTGGATGTGAGCCGAGCTTTAACTGCGTACACTTCAGAGAATGAAGCACGATAGTAGACGCTGCACTGCCATCTTTGCGCCCTTGTTGGACCCCTTCGGCGACCAATCGTGCAGCTTGCGCCCGGTCAGGTGTGCTTCGGGGGCGCGGGTGTCCGCTAGAGCGTGCGGCCGCACGCGTTTGCAGAGAAGCTGCGGTGGAGTGATGAGGCCGCCTCCTTCATCCGGTCCTTGGCCCGCGCCCGGGCACTTGAAGCGCCAGCTCGGCTGCGCCCCAGTGTTGTCAGCGCTCTTGTTGCCAGGTGGTCGGCCCAGCTGACCCATGCAGCCATGACAGCCTTTGCGTCGCCCCTTCTCAGGCAGGCTGCCGGGCCGGAGCTTTGCAATGGGGGGTGGCACCCTGCCTCCCGCTGGACGCTGCCAGCATAATTAGATCCTGGGCGGTGCATTGGTTGAAGCGCCCGAGTAATAGCACAGGCTCGCAGCACGAACTGCCATCGCCAGACTTCACTCTGCCCGCAATGGCCCCCATGTGCAGCCCAAAGCTTCCCCTATTTGCAGGGCCAATGCTGTACACCCAAGCCTTGTGGCATTGGGGGCCTTGTTCATCCAAGCATTTAAATGCCTCAAGGTTGTTTGGCTCAGCGCTCCAGCACAGCTTCGGCTACCCGAAAAGTCTCGACGACAGCAAGGACGTGCTGATCACAAGCGAGGCCAAGCCCACAAGCAAAAGGCGGACAGCATCCCCCGTCATCGAACCACCCTTTGCGGTCAGCGCCAACCCTGTGCCAGACACGATCGCCTTGCACCAACTGCCCGCAGAACTCAGCAGGTTTGTCTACCAGAGAGAAAGAACAAACCCAAGCAGTAGGAAGACCTAAAACGTTTCCTCATCAGAGGACTCCAGTTCACGCGACTGCGCAGATGAAAGTGCCCAGCCCACAGCGTTTGCAACAGGCGTTTTGCAACAGGCGTGTTGCACAGCATGCGGACGGAACGTATCCGCACCGACACGCTGCGTCGCATACCTCGGCCAAGAACGGCCCTGCAATTACAGAGCGCGCAGCACGCGTTCTCACTAATGAAATAGTGTCGCAAACAAGCCGCGCTTGCTTGATCGTGACATCTTGCTCCCGCCCGAGGTTGCAGCGAGGCGCTCAGACCTCGCGTGACGCATATGATAATTTGACAAATCGCGCAGAACACAGATGCTAGGCCACCCAAAAGGCATAGCACAGATCAGAGCCCGCACGCAAAAAGGGCAAGGGAAACGGGCAAAAGCAAGAGCAAGGCCTGCTGACTTTGGCCCCGCCATGCAAGGAAAATAGCAGGCTGAAACTCAAACCAGGAGGCCCCAAAACCCTCAGAACTCCAGCGCATACAAACGGAGTTCCAGGTCTCGCGCCAGTCGAGTTAGCGCGAGTGCAACAAAGCCATGAAATTCACAGACGCAGCCGGGACCTGTTCAATGCAGTGGCTTCGCAAAGCGGAATCGCCGTCACAGAGCAGCCTCCGCCAAGCATGCCTTGGCTCGAGCCGGAAAACTTTGCGTGTTTAAACAATTCCCACAGCCACCTCGCATGGGTGGACGCATGCCAGCATAAATGAGGTTCGCGAAATCTTGGTGCTTCACATGTTCTGGTCAACACATCAGCACCTGGTAACCACTCCTCCGCAGATCACTCCGTGCTCGAAACCACCGCACACAGTCACACGTGGCATCCAGTAGCCCGGACCCGTCTTTGAGCTCAAACAGCTGTGCGCCTCGCATTCACAGCCATGGGCGTCGCCTGCCCAAGCAACTTGGAACCAGATACAGGCCAGCCATGTTGCCTGGCGCTTTTGCATGCACTGGCTACAGCAGCCAACGGTCCAGATCTCAGGCTGCTGCCTTTGTTGCAGAAGGCGTGCCTACCGGCGCTATATCCGCATTGCCCCGCAGCCTGCAGTGGCCAGAGAAAACCACTAGCGACCCGCCCTGAGAACTGTCCGAATGCCTCGGCAATTGGACCGCTGCAGAAGCAGAGCCGCATCTTGTCCAAGCGTTGCTTGACAAAGAAATCGCCAACAAGTGGGTCGTCCGCACCAGCATGTCACTAGAGCAGGCTAGAAAGCACTGGCATAGAGGCATAGCAGTGGGAAAGCTAAACGTCGTGCATGCCGAAGGCAAGGAACCACGCTTGGTCCTCGACAGCGCACCAGCTGCAGCCTGCGTCAGGCTCGCGTTCCTGCCAGAGGACTCGCGTGCTGCGTTCGTCGGAGCTAGCTTCAATTTCAGAGCAGCACACAAACAAATCGAGTGCTCTTTCGTTTCAGGACGTCCTGTTCCACTACAGTCCGTTTCTCCGCATATTGGTGGCAGCGCACAGGGGCATTTTTACTGCGTCTTTTGCACGGCATTCTGTCCAGCTCGCCACAAAGCTTGGCTCTTCTCTTGGGCGCTCTGTTCCGACCATGTGCCCACGATCAGTTCGCGCTGATGGTTGCATTTTTCGCAGCGACTTCAGTTCTGGAAAAAGATAAAACGAGCTAACATGGTGCGGATGGTCCCCCAATTTCGCATGCTAATGCCTACAAAAACCGCCAAATTGCTTGAGCGATTGCATGCATTGCTAAAATCCGGGAGAGTCAAGCGCAAGCTTCTAGCACAGGTTTTCGGCTTGCTCATATGGGCTACAAGCTTGTGCACCAACCTGCGAGCATGGCTGGTTCCCTTGTACGCAGACTTGCATTCGCATGACAGTTGCATGGTCTCAGTAAATGACAGAATTTTGCCATCGTTTGTCTCGGCCCTCAATTCCAAAGCGGTCTTGACAAAACACGTGGCGCATGCCCCTGGGATCCAAATTTCTAGAGAAGGGCACGGCTATTCACTGCCTCACCGACTTGCCTGTGGTGCGTAGCCACGGCGCAAGCTGGGTGCGCGGCGCAGACCCCACCGCAGAACACACTCGCATTTCCAAACCCAGCAAAGCTGCTCTGCAGTGGCTGCTGCAGTATCACCGCCTGCAAGTTCATTGGTTTCTCCCCAGGCTGTGCCGCGGGTCAGAGCCCCGGTTTTTGCCATCCCTGCAGTACGTGCTTCCAGCACGATCTCGCATGCCCATTGCGAAGTGCACCTCTGATGATTTGCAAAGGCATGCATAGGGCACGTACAAAGTGAAATGCACAGATGCATGCGCAGGGAAAGTGGGCAGTGAAATGTATAGAGGCATGCTGCACAGCATACAAAGTGACTTGCATAGATGCATGCACAGGAAGAGTAGACAGTGACATGCGTACAGGCATGCATAGGGCAAGTACAGCGTGAAATGCATAGATGCATACACAGGGAAAGTAGTTAGAATCCAGTTCACTGCTTCAAGCCAAATGGAGGAACCTGCAAAGCCCAAAAAAGCGAAAGTAGACAAAGCTGACGGCCGCCCTCCCTTTTTCGTCAGGCGTTGCTCAGAGGTACTGCAGAGGAGTTGACAACGCGTGTCCAACTCCCGCTCTGCACCCTCTGCGGAGCCTGAGATTACGAACCCCCGGTCAACAAAGCGTGTTCGACCGGTCCCAGGTGTGTTACCTGCTGGGGTGTGAGACCACCGGGATATTGCTGTGCTCTCCCGGGATGTGAGATGCGATCACCGACCACTTGTGCACAAACACTTGCAGAGGCCAAGAGGTGGTGAACAATTTGTTCACAACCTGCTGGGACGCACACGGAATGGTTGGTGTGTCCTTCGACACTCCATGTTGCCTTCGGCGCGTGCGTCGGCTACGCACTTCAGTTCCGTGCATGCCTCTGTGCATGTCACTGTCTACTTTCCCTGTGCATGCCTCCATGCATTTCATTGTCCGCGTTCCCTGTGCATGCACGTATGCATTTCACTTTGTACGTGCCCTATGCATGTTTCTATGCATTTCACTGTGCACTTTCCTTTTGAATGTCTCTATGCGAAAAACCTTTCGGAATGCTTCCGGGAAAAGAAGCTCCGCGGCGCGGACGGCACAAATTGCCCAGGGCATCGGTCAACAGCTTGTCGTGCCATGCGCGCCGGAGCTGAGAGTGGACAAAGGGGGCAACGAAGGAAGAGCCAAGCGCAGTTCGTCCACGTGCCGGCTGCGAGTGCCAAACCAGCACGAAGCAGGCATACGCAATTGTTTTTAGTTTTTCCCGCGCGCCCTTATCGCATGGTTCTCCCCCCCCCCGCTAGCCGTAAGGCGCGAGAACCCAAGTGGCAGCTCTCGGAGCTCAGCCGTCGCAAAGGCCATTCTCGTTTCATCACCTTGGCTGCAGGGAAAAAGGCGTGCATGCTGCAGCTCTCTGATTTTTGCCTTTGCGGACAGAGATTGTGCAGTTCAACTTGTGATCTGGCAGGCCAGGTCTGGCCCAAGCACGTTTTGGAAGAATGTTCTTAGCTCGTCCTAATGAAGCAATTCGTCTCGTTCGTGTTCTTGCTCGTCGTGTCCGCAGACCCTCCGTGTACTGGCAAATGGGTGTCAGATTGTGAAGATGCGGAATCTCAGCGGCACACTCCCGGAGCAAAACAAACCTGGAACCAAACAACCAGGGTTCCGCAACAAGAGATACCGTCTGGGTTTCATGCCAACCCGATGCGAAGTAGTGTATTTTTTTTGGCGTAGTGCATCTTATGCTTGTTCAGTGGCTGCAAGTCCAGCACAGTGTAGTGTGCCATATGCTTCGCCCTGACCAAGATTAGCCAAGGACCTTGCAACATGCTCACAGCACTACGCAGACCAACTTGGCATTGTGCAATGCGGAGTTACCAGCACAGCACAGTGCCTTGCAATAGGCAGCTTGTGCACAGCGCCTCAGACAACCACAACCACAAGTACAACGACCACGACTTTGGCGTGTCACTTGACGCGAAATCCTGCCAAAGTCTGGCGCTCTCAAGGTGACTTCCTGGTGTTTCACACTCGAGATTCAACTCGGAAAGTCACAGACTTCTGGCAGCACATGCTGATGGACGACATGACCTGGGAGGTTTGGTTTAACACCAATGCTGCCTCGCATTTGTCAGGCGACACTCCCATTCTTGGTGCGGCTACGGGTATGGCGACCTATGAGTCTCAAACACGCCGGCGCACGCATCGGCGGCGGCACGCAGGCGTTCATATCAAGCCCGACGGCACCACCTTGGTCAAGGCCCACGTCTTGGACTCCTTGGTGCAGCAAAGCCATGACACTTGCGACCAAAGCGAATTTGACCGCTTTGGACTTTTGTTTCTTTCCAAGTTTCCATTTTTAGTTCTCGGCACGGAAGGTTTCTTTTTTCAAGGTTTCCATTTTTTGTCGGCCCACATGGTGATCACCTTTTGTTTCTGGGGTCCTTTGGAGGACAAGAACATCAGCGATGGGCAGTGGCACCATGTGGCCTTGGTCTTTGCCAAGAGCAGCGCCAGCTTGCAGTACTACTTGGATGGCAGCCTGGCGGCCAAAGTCGCATACGCCCCAGGAGCCCAACGCCCGGAACCCTGAACCCCAAAAGAGATTTGCTTTGTGCACCGGGCAGGAGATGACAACGTGGCCATGGACGGGCAAGTTCTTTTGGGTGGCCGAGCTGACCACCTGCTGTCCTGCAAGGCAGGTCAATCGCATGGCAAAGGAATCCGACAATAACACAACAACACAAGCGCTCAAAATTGGAAGTTTTCTTTTGGCTTCCCTTTTGACCCCAGAAACAGGGTACTGGCAAGAGGGGTGACCAAAGCTTCACAGATGTCCGAGTCGCCGAGGTGTCGAGGTTTGCTCTGTGGACCCGTGCCTTCTCCCATTCCGAGCTGCTTGGCCAGCTGAGTCGCGGCTTCCGACACATGAAATATACAGGTATAAGACATATACGGCATATGCCCCCTATGAAAGGTGGAGGTCCCACTCTGTCGTGGGGATTCCTTTGGGGAAGCCTCCTGATGAGCACCCGCGGGGTTTATTCATCAGAGGTCAACATCATTCTCATAGCCTGAGCGGTCGGTTACTGAGCGAGCTCCGAGCTCAGGATCCGCAGGATGGCGAGCACCTGCGATGTTTCCACCGACCAGGACGGGGTTTTCGGCGTGAGGCAGAAAGATATACTCTATTCAGCACGTTTCAGCACGTTGGTTAGTTTTGTGAAAGCCGCTTTTTGCTTTCTGTTTTGTTGTTGTTTACGTTGTTTGTTTGTTTGGTTGGCCAAAAGGAAATATTATGTAGCCCTTGGTTGGTGGTTTGGATGGGTGGTTTGGGGATTTGAACCCCTGGTTCTTTGTTGAGGGCCAATGGGACATCACCATCGAACCAGTTGGAGGAAGATGAATCTGCGCGTGTGTGTGCTTTGTGAGATGCCCTGGACCCTTCTTGGGAGCACCCACCTGCAGGGTCCCCCCTGTTTGACAAATACTCGTTTTGCGTCTCACAGTTTGGCAAGTTGGCTCCTTTGCCACTGTGCAATGTATCCTTTTGCACGTGGCCCCCTTTCGCCTTGATTTCAATGGGGAAAAAGACAAGTCGGCAGGAGCGCGCTGCGGCGCTCTACACTCTGGATGACTCTTTCGAGGAGTGCGCGCTGTCGCAGAGTTTGCAGCCTTCGAAGCCCCAACTGAGCCTTGGCTGCTCTTCACGCCCGAGCTTTAACCTAAGAAACGAGAATCTTTGAAGACTTGAGCTTCTGACCTTTTGAGTGACTGTTTCCCTAGCAGCTGCCCCATTTCTCAGCATTCTTAGAAAGCTGGCCAAATCCGCAGCCTTGTGTTTGGACGTGAAAAGAAGGGGGAATGGCGAATCAGTTCACATCGTTTCTTTTTTGCCCCTCACATGGTCCCTGTAAACCACCAAATAACCAGAGTCCAGACGTATCAACACAAGCCTTTTGAGCCTTTGGGACCTGAGGAACTTCGAGAGCTGCGGGTCTGATTGCCAAGTCTGCGACATCTCTCCCATCCACGTCCTGATGAAGGGTCCGTCATTGCCCTCGAAGGTTTGGAAGAGCGACGGCACGGACCCGAGTGGTTGTCGTGTGTTCCTTTGGAAAAAAAGAACGAAGGTCGCGCCCGCTGTTTCTTTTTTTTGACCGTTCAGTTAACTACCGCGATTAAAAGAATGGTTGGGTGAATGAAACCAACATGTTTTACCGTTCAGGATTTTCATCCTCCAATTTGGAGCCAACCTTTCTTTTTAATGGGGCTCAAGCCCAGGGGTTGGTGTGCCCCCCTTTCGAAGATGGGTCTTTCGCAAAGCGAGGAGTACCTGGTGCTCCCCACAATGTCCGGCAACAAAAAGACCAGCTTGTGGGAGAAGCTGTCGAAGGGGGATATGACCTGGGAGATGATGTACCAAGGTGCCCAAATTGGGTGCATGTGGGAGGGGCACGAGGTTTGGAGTTCAGATGCCCCAGAAAAACGGAACATTGTTGGCCGCAGGTGATGCGAAGACGGATGCGTATGCGCAGGTTATGTCCACCAGAGGGTACGACAGCGCAGGCGGGTCTCGCCGAAGATGGGTGGGAGTGGAGCTTACAGACGATGGACAGCATCTCCGTGCACACAGCAGCTTGCACCACTCGAGGGTCGACAGTCAAGTCAACGTGAATGACGGACGCTGGCATCATCTTGCCTTAGTCTTGAGCCAATCGCAGAAGTATCTTGAGCTTTATGTGGACGGAGAGCGTCAAGGAAGAGCAGACTATCCGGTTACGGACAGGGTTGGTTGCAACACTATTGACACGTCCACCCCTGGCTTCGCCTTTCAAGGGAAGCCAAAAGAAGTTTGTCAAAGCAACGATTTATCCTTGCATCTTTCTCAAGATGTTGAATGTTGGGTCACCCTGTTTTCGTGGCTGTCTCGGTGCCAGGACAGCGATGACCCCTCCTCCGTGACTGGGGGGATCGAGTTCTGCAGGTCCTTCGCCTGCAACGTGTCGCGCCTGGGGATCTGGAGCCGCGCCCTGCAGCATGGGGAGCTGGCGCGGGTGACGTCCTCCAGCTGCGCGGAGGATGACACGAACCTGGAGGTCTACTACCAGCTGGATGGGGATTTCGCAGACCTGCGTCGGCAAGGTGCGATGCGGCGAGCACGGGGAGTTGGATTGACATTGGGGGATTCGGGTCATATGAAAGTTATGAGAGAGGGAGAGAGAGCGAAATTTGAGCCAGGTCCCACCATGGCCCAGACAGGCAGCTTCGTGGCACCAGGCGCGGCCCCGCGGCCCGATCGGGTTTAGTGACTGACCGCATGTTTGCAGCAGGGCGTGGCTGTTTCTTCACCACCTGGACCTGGCTCGTGCGTCACGCATGACTCATCGCAATAGCTTTTAGCACTCGGGTCGGTAGAGCCAGGAATTCCAACGACCCTCAACAAATGGTCGTGAACACAAATCCTCACAATTGACGTTCAGTAAGGGTCCCCAACTAAGAGTGCGCTCGGCGTATGTCCAGTTGCGCTGTGAGGAGGTCGCTTTGTGATGGACTGGGCGTTGAAGAAGGGGCGGCTGCTGACTTGTGAATCCGCTTGCCCCCCGATGCAGACTGGGCCCCTGTGTGCGGGTCCGGGTGATGTGACCATTGAGTACTTGGTGGTCGCTGGCGGGGGTGGTGGAGGCCACGGGGGTGGAGGCAGGCTTTGCAAGAAAATGGGCTAAATCAGCACTTGCGAAAATGGTCTCAACCATCAACAGTCTTTTTTGTTCCTTGAAAGGGAAACCTAGAGGTTGTTAACATGCCTTCTTTACATCCTGCTCAGGCTCTCAGGAGCTCACCTTAAACCATGGTTCAGGCTGTTGCGAAAACACACGTGGTTGTGAATTTGTGGTGTGTAAACTAGGGTGAGACTCGTGGCAAGGATGTTGGAGAGAGAGGGAGAGAGAGAAATCAGGGCGCATCGCCCAACAGCTATGGGGTTTCAGGTTGCCGCTTTTGGCATCCAAGAGACCCCACAGGATGGGACATATAACTATATAACCATGTGGGTGCTTTGCCCCCCCGGCCTTCTTCCGAATCACCTTCCCTTCGTGTTTCCGAAGCTTGGGAACAAATCTCGCCCGTTTCCGGGCCGGGGGGCCCCTCCCGTGGGCGGGCGAGGTGGCGGTGGCTTGGTGAAGGGCTTCATGGTCCTGCCGAAGAATAGCTCGTGGGGCATCTCCGTGGGCAAAGGAGGTGGAGGTGGCAGCGGCGGCTCAGGCAACCCCCGTTCGGTCCCGTCCCGGTTTTATGCGGGTCTTTTTGGGCTTGGGCTGGGGGGTGGGGTGGGGTCGGATGCCAAGCCTCTCAGTTTCAAGAGGTCAACACCTCTAAGTGATTTTTAGATCCTTTAGGGAATTTGTTGAAACAGGCAAGCAAACACTCTGGTTTGAACGAACTCATTCCTTGGGCAGAAGCTTCAGTTCCTGGGCCAAGCCTGTATTGGCTGGGCGTGTTGCGTGTGAGGTCCTGGCCGGGACTTCAGCCGGCCCGCCTTGGACGGGGGGAGCTCCCAGCTGGGCCCCGTGAGGGCCTTTGGCGGCGGCCATGGCGCGGACAGCACCCGGACCCCGGGCAGCGGCGGCAGCGGCGGCGGGGGCAGCTACGACATGCCAGCGGGGCCCATCGGGCGATGCGTCAAAGGCCAAGGCCACGACGGGGGCAGAGCCACCCTGAATTACTATGGCGCAGGAGGCGGCGGTGGAGGCAAGGTCCGGGTGGGTCAAAAAGGCGGGTGCGGAGTTGGGGGTGAAGGTGTTGACTGCACTTTGTGTTGCAAAACATGCTCGCGTCAGGTGCAGGAGAACCAGGAAAAGAAGGTTCCCCCTCCTGGCACTATGGTGGTAGTGGCGGAGATGGGATTCTTTGCGACCTGACCTTTCAGTCGTCCTGGTATTCCGGTGGCGGAGGCAGCGGAGTCAATCGAAACTCCAACGACTTCCATTACCGTGGCGGATATGGGGGCAAGGGCGGCGGTGGCAGCGGCAGCCATTTTGGCGCCGCTGGGGGGCGGCGCCGCGACAGCTGGGCCACCTTTTATGGCACAAATGGCGAGGCCAACACCGGCGGTGGCGGAGGTGGAACAGATCCAGAAGGTCAGAAGGGAGGGAGCGGAGGCTCCGGCATTGTGGTCATCCGCTATCCAAGTCCCAGGCCTTTGCTCATGGGCGGCACGCCCAGTTTTCACCAGGGATTTCAGATCCACACCTTCACCGCAGGCAAGAGCACTCTCTCCTTCCCGCAGGAAGGGCACCTCTACTTGGAATACTTGGTGGTGGCGGGCGGGGGCGGCGCTGGCACCGGTGGTGGCGGAGCTGGCGGCGTGCTGAAGGGTTCCGAATGGATGCCGCCAGGCGTCGTGTGGCCTGTGAAGGTGGGCGCCGGCGGGCAGAGTGGCACGGGCGGCACCGGCAAGGGCTATGTCCCCGACCAGCCCGCCAAGAACGGCGAGGAAGCTCGGAACATCCATAAAAACCATAAAATATTTTTTTCAAAACAACCAAAATAGCAAATATCAACGACATATCCCTTCAATTCACTGCTTTGTTCTTGACATTCGTGCCTCATTTGTTGCCCAACACCGAGGACTCCCAGCTGGGCACCCTGGTCGCCCTTGGCGGAGGCCATGGGGCGGATTCTGACCGGAAGCCCGGTGAGGGTGGAAGTGGGGGCGGGGGGACCTTCGACAGGCCAAATGAGCCCCCTGGGAACAACACCGCTGGCCAGGGACACACAGGTGGTCTGGCCACACACACCTGGCATGGGTCAGGAGGTGGAGGTGGAGGCCGGGCTTTATAAAATGAAGGATATGCGGCGCATTTAGGCTTGGGCGCTTTGGCTTTCCCTACAATGCCTGGAAAAGCCGGCAAGGCTGGCGGGCGGTACTGGGGGGGTGATGGAGGTGATGGCGTTTCCAGCGACATCACTGGCGCTGTTACGTGGTATGGAGGTGGTGGAGGATCTGGTGTGAATGCCAACGACCACAGATACACCTACGGCGCGGGCAAGGGCGGGATGGGAGGAGGTGGCAGGGGCAGTAACTTTGGGTGTCACACGTGGGGCAATGAGAGGTTCACGGGCAGCGATGGAAGGGAGAACACCGGAGGTGGGGGCGGCGGCACAGATCCTGAAGGCACGGTCGCCGGCAAAGGTGGCTCAGGCATCGTGGTGGTCCGGTACCGGAACCCCACGCCTCTGATCTTCGGCGGGGCCCCAACGTTTTCCAATGGCTACACCATCCATTGGTTTACCACAGTGGGCGCCAGCGCGCTGGAGTTCCCCACCCCAGGGACGGAGACTTGGCCTCTGGCGACTTTTTGGAAAGGCGTGTGGACAAATATGAGATATGGTCTCGGGCTCCGTCCCCCCCCCCCTCGAAGTGGTATCCCCCCAGAACCCGATTTCCAAGGAGAAGCCCCACTGCTGCGGTCCCCAGACCCCGGCCCCTTCACCCCTGAACCCACACCTCGGCACGCCCTGCGCCCAAACTAACCCTAAACTAACCCTAAACTAACCCTAAACCAACCCTAAAGCAACCCTAAACTAGAAACACACATCTTAAACCAACACTTGCCGCGTTCTGAACACACTAAACCAAGCCTGAACCAACTTAATCAACCCTAAACCAACCGTAAACCAACCTTAGATTAAACCAACCCCTAAGCACATATCTTAAACCAACACTAAACACACTCTAAACCACTCCGGAACTAACCTAAACCACCCCTGCACCAAGGATTAAGACACACATCCTAAACCAACACTACCAACCATAAGCACATATTCTAAACCAACACTGAACTCACTCTAAACCAACCCTCTTCCACCCTAAACCACTACAACTAGATCAACCCTAAACCAAGTCTAAACCACTACAACCCCACCACAGGGGTGGTCTTAGACCAACCATAAACCAACCCTAAACCACACCCCAACCACACCACAGGAGGGGGGGAGGAAGAACCATGGTGGGGGAGGGGGGGTTTCTTGCCCCCATGAAACGAACAGCAAGGACCCAATTTGGATGACCATCCTGAACGGTCAAGAAGGGTGTTCATATCCACCCCCTTTGTTTTAACGGTGGTAATGAGTTCAGGGGATAGTGCCTTCCTTCAACCTTTTGATTTTTAGGAGACCTTGACCCTGGAGTATTTGGTGGTGGGCGGGGGCGGCGGCGCCGGCACCGGCGGCGGCGGCGCGGGGGGGGTGGTGAAGGGCTGGGTGCTGATGAAGAAGGGCTCCGCCTGGGTGGTGAGCGTGGGCGCGGGCGGCCAGGGCGGCACCGGGGGCAACTCCAAGGCCCAGGATGGGCCGCTGGCGACCAGCGGCGAGGACTGGGGTGGGAACAATTGGTGCGCTAGAGAGAGAGGGGGAGGCCCTGCGGGACGAAAAGGATGCTTTTAAACAGTTGTGTGGTTCAAAGCTTGGTTTTTCGACTCCGTTGGGTGAAATCTGTTTCAGCCACCAGATGTTGGACCTTGTCAGAAGGGACACCGAAAAGGAGGTTGTTAAAACAATAATCAGTTGAACTTTGAGCTTTGCACCACAGCAAATGCACACTTGTTTGAACAACTTTTTGATTTGACAATTGTTGAGTACCTTCTTAAACATGGCTCGGTGGTATTTCATCGCCCACTTTCTTTCCTTGCGGTGCCCTTTCCCTGGCCTGAAAATGTTCCAAGCAGCCAGGACTCGCAGCTGGGGGACGTGTTGGCCACCGGCGGCGGCAAGGGCTGCGACAAGAGCCGCAGCGCCGGCTTCGGCGGCTCCGGGGGCGGCGCGTGCAACGACCAGCTCTCCGGGCCGGTTGGGCAGCCCAAGGTGGGCCTACCCTGAGTGAGAGGGCCCATGTAGGGCGGCCGTGCTTTTGGCTTAGGCTTAGGCTCTTTTTTTTTTCCCTCTCTTTTTTCCCCAAGAAAGTCTCGGCCCTGAACATGGCCGGGAGTTTGAGTGGAGAACCTCGAAAAGTCATTGGCACCAACGGCTTTAACATCATTTGCATGGTGGTTTGTGTTCACCATGTCCCCATTGTGCTATTTCTATCCACGTGTCTCGAAGTCGGACTTCTTGCGCTTTGCGAAAGAAGGGCAAGTGGTTGAGTCCTTTTCCCACCATTAATAGGGGGGTGTCCCCTTTGAGTGGGGATTCATCACTTTGGGAGGGAACACCCCCCTAATAGTGGGACGGGTTTATTAACCCTGGGTCAACATTAACCCGCTCCCCGGTCCCTGGTTCCCAGGCGGGCCAAGGCCACAAAGGCGGCGCCAGCGATCGCACCGCCTGGGGCGGGGCTGGGGGCGGCGGAGGCGATGGGGAGCCGGGGGGGCAGAATGCTTGGATCGGTGAAGGGACATGTCCGTTCTCTTTTCTTTTTCTTCTTCTGCTTTCTCGGTTCGGATGAGTTCATGTAAGTTTCGGTGTGGATGGTTTGGATTTGGATTTCGATTTGTTTGGTGGTTTCGGGCTGGCAAAAACCATACGAACCAAAAGCCACCGGAAGCTGAGCTGCAAGCTGGCAGCTGGAAGCTGAGGGAAGCCGATCCTCAGGTGCGGGGGGCGCTGGCGGCAAAGCGCCCAAGCAGCACATTGGCGGCAGCGGAGGCGATGGCCTGGCCTCGGACATCACGGGCACGTTGAAGTGGTACGGCGGGGGCGGCGGCGGCGGCGTGAATGCCACCAGACCTCCGGGTGGAGCCTTTTTTTTCTTCTCTTTCTTTTTCTTTTTTGGTTTGGAATGAAGTGATTGCAAGCTGTTTCAGCATGCGCAGCTTTTCCAAAGCATGTCGGCTTTGTTCAGGGTTTCATGGTTTCAAGAACCCCATGGACTTGACCCCGTGCTCCTTTTGCGGAAATCGGGCCGTACCGTTAGTCAACATAATCTGGAGCCTGTTCCATGCTTGGCGCAACATCCGCCGGGTTTTCCTGTGCCAAGCCGAGGTGAACACCAACAACGGGCACTACAGCGGCGGGGAAGGCGGCCGAGGCGGCGGCGGCCGCGGCAGCGGCTGGGGCTCCACGCCAACCCACGGCGAGGAGATATACACCGGCACCGATGGTGACTTGACCAAAACAGACGCGCACGCACGCACGCACGCACGCCCGCCCGCCCGCCCGCCCGCCCGCCCGCCCGCCCGC